GAGAGAAACGAAAGTAGAGAGAACCCACTAAGGTATATCAGAATGGCAACGAAACTAGAGATAGAGACAGACACAGTTAATACCCGATCGGAATACATAGGAATTACAGTGAGAGAGAGAAAGAGCAATTACCCGATATGAATTAAAGAAGTTCCCGACAAGGGAGAAATGGAAGTCTTCGCTTTCTTTTGCAGAAGATCTGGCGCCGAATGAAACACATAATAGCTTCCTGGTGACCTTGAAGCTTCAGCTGCATCAACCTATGAGTTGCAGACTCTCTCGGAGAGAATTTTATCTCATAAGTGTGCCCCTATTCAAAATTAATCAAATGATACCTCCACCCATCTCTTGTTTTTTCATTTCATGCCGATGTCGATGACCAGAGATTCGATCCCATTTCAAGTTTATGTATTTATATTTTTCTCTTCATTTTCTCTTTTTATGCTTTTTAAATAATAAGCTAATAATTAATTTTGCATTAAAATTATGTAAAGTATCAGAATCCAGTGTAATTAATTTCAGCTGATAATTAATTTTGCTCCAAAAAATTAGTAAAATGTTTCAATAATATTGTAAGTTCTATAGAATTAATTATTGTTAGTTATTTAAAATAACTGATAATTCCCTAAAATTTGTAATTAATTACGCTAATTATTAATTATTAGCTATTTTAAAACACTTTCTTATATGAATTAAAATTATTTCAGTAAAATAATTCTATAAATTAATTATTATTAGTTATTTAAAATAACTACCAATTTCTTGATTGTTGTAATTAATTACCATAATTAATAATTACTAGCTACTTAAAAACCCTTTCCTATTTGCAGTTCAATTTCTTAATTACCCTTAATAAGTTGTTATCATTATTTCTTGAAAAACTCAGTATTTGATTTCAGTTAAAAATACTGAATTTTATGTACTATCCGAAAAAAAATGAAAATTATCAGAAATTTGTAACTAACTGATAATTACAATAATTAATAATTATTAGCTCTATACAAAACATTTCAGCTGTAATTAATTTCAGTTAACCATATTGAAAATCATTTCAATAATTGTTTTTTAAAAATTAAACTATTATTTTTTAGATAATTAAGTTTCCAGATTATTCGATAACTACTGTTAGTTAAATTATTAATAAATTGTTGTAATAATTATTAATAAGTTGTTATCATTAATTCCTAATATTGAAAATATTTTACTAATTTATTATTATAAATTATATTATTGTTTTGTACACATGTAATTTTATAGATTATTTGAAAATTACTGTTAATTAATTTAATTTTCTAGGTTATTCAATAGCAATTGTTAATTAAATTATTAATAAATTGTTGTAATAATTATTAATACATTGTTTTATATATATATATATATATATACAAAAAAGCTAACTTCCCCGTAATAAGTACGGGTCATTCACTAGTATTTTTATGAAGGGAAGGGAAAATATTTATATAAAGTTTCCTGTACATATACATTGCTACTTTCGTTTCCATGTATTATAACACGATTCTTGACTTTGAGAGAGAACTTACTTTGCCACGTGGTCTATTGGGAGGCTAGGTAGAGGAAGGGGAGGAGAGAGAGAGAGAGAATGAGAGTGTCAGAAAGGGTTAGGAAGAAAAGAGAAAAGAGAAGAAAAGAGGGCTGCTGACGTGGGACTTAATCGCTTTATAATATAGTATAGAATTATAAATAGATTTATTTGGTAGTATTTTTTATAATTGATTAATATTTTTCATTGCTCCACATTTAATGCCCTGTCATCCAAAAAGAAAGAAAAACAAATCAGTTAGCAAAAAGGGAAAATGGTGAATTTGAGGATTCCTCATATAGGCCTAATCTGCGTAATTGTTGCATCAACATTTTTTTTCCCATTTCACGAGAAAACAATCAACCAAATAACATATTCAACTGTTTTTTATGAACCACTAATGTGGCCCCGACGTGACACCATTGTCTCGTCCAAATACCTCCAAAATTAAAATTTTAAAATTCATAAATTAAGATGTTTTTGTTATATGATTGGTAAGTCAAACTAATAATTTTAAGGGATATTATTTAAAGCTCACCATAACTTTTTGTATTAAGTATTTTACATGACCAAATTACTAATCTTATTAAATATTTATATAACAAATTTATCCCTAATTATTTATATTTTTATAATATATATTCTAAATATATGTGAGTTGGGTCAGGCCTAGGTCCAATTCTGAAATTTGCAAGTTTGATGTGAGACCTGGCCAAGGTCAAGGGTAATTTTGTTATAAAAACATTAAACAAACTTGATTGGCCTTTCAAGGGTAATTTGGTCATGTTAAACACTTAAGTGCTTACATACACAATTTCTATTAATGGTCCCAAATGACGATCTAACAGAAATTTCAACTAAGGTGAATCTTAGATTATAAAACTTATTGATAGGGGTTATCTACAGGTTTTTAAAAACCATGATGAATATAAGAGGCGGTTTGGCATTGTTGTCATTTCTTGGAGTGACGGAACCACATCAGTGTCACATCGGAAAAAATGGTGCTCTAGGAAACAGGCATTTATTTGGAACCGTTTTTTCATAAAAACGATACTCCAAGTCACACCTCGGAAATCAGGAAGCCATGGTTTGGAGCAACACCAAATTTGGCATTTCTTAGAGCTGCAGCTCGTTGTTATCAACAGGGCAATGATGCAGCACTGGATAATGGGTACCAGTGCTGAAAACATTTCCTGGAGCAATGATACCAAACAGAAAAAATTGTTGTTGCTCCAAAAAACGTCTTACCTTACAGCAACGATTCCAAACAAAAAAACAAAGCATCATTTTCTAAGAAAATGATACTCCAAACCATACATCAGAAAACAGTGTTATAACTGCAGCATATATGCCAAACATATCCTAAGAGAATTGCAAAAAAGTCATCCCTAATTTTAATATTCCTAATTTTAATATTAAAGGTACTTTAATAAATTATATATTTCAATTATTTCTAACAATAAATGGCTTTTAGTTTCGTGGTCAAAGAGAGTGGAGGTCAATTTGTTCCGTGGAAGTTTCCGACCGGGGAGACGGAGACATGACAGGAACGTTATCGGGGGTGGATACGTGGAAGCAATTTGAATACGTGTCCGGTGTCCCCTCTTTCATAAAGGAGCCAATTAGCCAAATTGAAGTCAAGGCGTAAAAAACCTTTTAAGTGGATTTGAGAGGTGATCCAAAAAGTTGACCAAAACCTTGAAAAAAAATCAAGTCTACTAGAGAGTAGAGAATTTGCCTTAAAATCACGTGGAATAGGCAAGCCACAAGCGCATGATTATCATCACGGCATCACCGACACCATAATCCAAATCGACCCTCTACCATCTTCTTTAATTTGCCTTGGTCGTCTTCTCGTTATGGTGGTAGAGATTTTATGTTTTTATATATTTTTCTTTATTTCCGCTTATCCGTAAAAAGTAAAAACCATGTCTACGGACTATGGCCCTTAATGGGCCCTCAACCTTTGACCCCATTCTCCCTTTGTCTATGTCTATCCGTTACTCGTTACTCGTTACCGTTAGTTTATCCTGGTTCGTTCAACAAACAGTCCGACTTTATTGCATACAACTCAGCAAACCACGTTCCGGGCTGAAACAACGAAATCAAAACCCCCACGTTGAATTACATGAAATGACATCTTGGTGGTAGTGGGGCCACTGTATTATTATATCAAAATTCAAAAGTCATAATTTTCGGTTTTAGTCCTTCGTTCAAGCAAAATTTAACTCATTTTTCAGTTGGTTCTATGCTTTTAAAACTACCGTTGACCCGAGTTATTGCACCATTTAACCTGAGAACCGGTCGTTATGTCCGGTTACGTTTTTCACTTGGCTTGAATTTAAAAAAAAAAAAAAACTGTTGAATCATTCAACGAATCGTTGATTTTAATTTGATGGTTGAAACAGTAAACCTTTCGGTCAGAATAACGGTTTTTTAATATATTTCATTGGATACCTGGTCCATCTATAATAAATTTATATTGATTTGGGTTGGACTGAGCCAATATTTGATCTATTATAAGAATTTTGGTATCAATAAAATAGATAAATTAAAATAAATTTAAACAGATTGAACGATCCAAACATCAAATTAGACCGGTTTAAAATGACTCACAATAAACTGGATGAAAATGCATCAAATCCAGTCCAATAGACACCTGTGAGATAAGGGGTCTGCATTGAGTAGAAATTGCCAGACCTAAACCCAACCACCCAATTTGGTTCAGATTTATCCGGTCCACGACATGTTGCTGGTGGAGTAAAACATGGTACGCATCATTATCCACGACATGGTCATTGGGTCCAGTACAGCCCCTAGATCCGTACCACGTGTACACATCATCCATCTGAAACCGAAAATAAGCTTCCTCAGGATAAATCCGTGGCCACATCGTTCCAATTGTCTTTTTTATTAGAAATATCTCTTCATGAAATAAAAAATAAAAGTAAGAGATATTTATAGGCTTTGCCCTGAACTACACATGCTCGTCGCCAGTAGCTTCTCAGTAATTTCTAGCATTCGAAGGACCCACTCAATAATCAAATGTTTCTGGTGCATGCGTCGTCTCGTCTCACCGTCTCACCGTCTCGTCTCACAACTCACAGGCAGAGCATGTGTAGGTCCCACGCGCATTAACAGCAAAGTTTCTCTTAATGAATTTAGCAGAAACCAGGGAAATTGTATTCTCTTTCTCTGTCTGACTTCCTCACACGCGGATTCCATTACCATGTCAATCAACCCTGTTACAACTGGCCGGAATCTTCTGCAACTACTCATTCCTTGCACACTACTGTCTTCAAAACACTCATCGTTTCCTTTAAAAATCACACTCGATCACCACCTCTACCTTCAACTCTTCTTCGACACTGATCTCGTCTTCTTCCATTTCAGTCGGACAATCATATCCCATTCACTACCTCTTTTTTTTTCTATTTGTGTTTCTGTGTCTCTGTGTGTCATGGGGAACTACATCTCCTGCACGCTTGCCAATTCAGCAGGAAGACAGTCAAGAGGTGCAAAGGTGATCCTACCAAGTGGCGAAATCCGGCAACTTGACGGTCATGTCAAGGCAGCGGAACTTATGTTCGAGATACCCAATTACTTTTTGGTGAATTCCCGATCACTGCAAATAGGACGGAGGTTCTCTGCACTTAGCGCCGTTGAAGATTTAGAAATGGGTAACGTCTATATTATGTTTCCAATGAAGAGAGTCAATTCCGTTATCAAAGCAGCCGACATGGGAGCCTTGTTTATGAGTGCGAACAGGGCTGCCAATCGGGCTTCCAGTGCTGGGGCAGTGTGCATCGTGTCTGAGGCCGGCAACGGAAATGCGCAGGTCACGCCGGTGCCGGCCGTTGACGGTTTGAGGGAAGGCGAAACACCATTGCCGAGACTGAAATTAGATGACGTCGAAGAATTTTCGACCCCCGAGTTTAAGCATAGGCGGTCGATGTGTAAGTCGAGGAAACCATTGTTAGAGACCATAATGGAGGAGCCAATTTCTTCAAGATGAAATATCCACCTCTAGCTTCTTCTTTAATCGGTTTCTCTATTTGCTGCTCTCCTAATTTTAACAGAAAGAGAGAGAGAAATTAATAATTTTCAAGAATCATTTTCTTTTTATATGGTTGTGAGTAATCACTACATATTATATGTACGAGTCTAGAAATTAGAATTCATAGTTTTATGAAATTCAAAGTTAGATCTGTAGATGATTTTTTTTTATTATAATTGTAAGGTACCAACAATGAAGAAAAGAAAGGAAAATTGTGCATTTTTGAATTAAATAGTTGCCCTTTATTTGGTAATTAAGTAGAAGCTGTTCTTCAAATGTTAGAGCTGGTTTGAGGCTAACAAATTTCTTTCCTTGTTTGTAAGCCTAGCCTTATTCTTAGCTTTGAGATTTTCCGATTACTTGTGGGAGGGTTAGATCGTTGTATGTGCAAGATTTACATATAAGAGGAAGAGAGAGAGAAGAAGAAGAAGAAATTAGAAAGAAATGATTGATGAATATCGTGCTGAGAGAGAGGAAAACAGAGTTCAATGTGCTCTTAGTAATATAAATGGATAGGGAGGATGGAGAGAGAGAGAGAAATTAATAAATGGATTAGAATTTTGGCACGATTGTGTGCGGCCAAAAAGCAATACTAAAAAAAGAAGTATCGGCACTGTAGAGTGGGGATGATCATGGGCCGGTTTTTTGTAGAGTTTTAAAAACTGATCCGGAGGTTGAACCGTTTTTGCCTCTGGGTCGTGGGTCACCGGTTCAATCGTCCAAGTTGAATGGGTCGGATCATGTATTCACATTAGTGTCTATATATTTTAAGTATATAAATATATAGGTATAAATGTATATTTTATCAATAAATAATGTATAATTATATTCAAGACATGATATACGTATTATTTAATATTTAATTTATGTTTTTTTAATTCAGTTTTTAATTTTTTATGTATAAAATTAGTAAAATTTGTGATTTGAGGCCAAAAAGGGATTTTTTTCACGAAAATAGCAAGGCAAGGCACCTTTGGCACCTTCGGACGCATAGATCTCGAAAAGTTACCCAAAATCAAAAGCAAATCACCTCAATCGGACGTTGCTAGGGATGTTAACATGTCGGGTTTGGCACGGTTTTGCCTCAACCCTAACCCGACCCTATAATGCTTCAACCTGAACCCCACCCAACCCGCCTTAAAATACATAATTTCCAAACCCGATCCAACCCTATAGGATCTAACCTAATACCGACCCAACTTGACCTGTAGCATTTCAATTGTATTTTTTTAACACGTTTTGAAGTCCTAAAATCCACTAATTTAAGTTAGAAAATTGTTTTATAGAATCTAAGATGTCACTTTTCCCATTTAAAAAAAAAATCAAAATCAACACTTAAATAAACATTAAACCTTAAAACTATAAAGTTAAAAGTCAAAAAGTCACAAGAATACTTTGTATATATGCAAGGGTATCATGACCCAGTGGGGCGGGTCAACCAAAACCATAACTTGACTTGGGTTGAATAATCAAAACTCTAATCCAACTCTAAAGCCAAATATATTGACCCTAACCCGACCCTATAGAGTCATGTTAATTCGGGTTTACCATTTAAATCCCTAGACATTGGAGTGCAAAGTTATGGCCTCCCAAAGTTTGCATACACATTTAGTATGCAACCCGCAACCCAATGATAGGGTCACCGATTCGACGGTTCAACCATTCAGTCGACGATTTTGTGGACTTTTCAATGGTTTTTGGGGCAATGCCAGGTTTTATAAGAACCGGACCTGTAATGTCAATCGGGTGACGGTTCGAACGATTCAATTGTTCAAGTCAATGGAAGGTTAAAAACATTGGTATTAAGGCCTTCCTAGGCCCAACTTGGCCTACACCTTGGCTCTAATATTGTATGCCTAGGACTGGTTGCAGGTAGGTTGAACATCCATGCTGGCCCATATAAATTAAAATTAAAATGTATTTTTTTTGTTTATAGTTACAAAAAAAAACATAGGGTGCTCACAGTTTGATTTTTTGTAACCGAGCCGGTACTATCAATTTTTGGAAAATCAATAACCAAAACCAAACCGAAACCAATCGATTAACCGGTTGACCGGTTCGGTTAACCATTGGTTCGATTCGTCAATTTTTCAGTTTTTAATTTTTACAATATATATTATAAATATATATAATATTATATTTTAAACAATAAATAATATATCATATATTATAACTATATATAATGCATATTTATTAATTTATAATATATAAAATGTAATATACATATATATATATAATATATAAATATATCAAATATATAGAAATATATGTATACCGGTTACTTCGGTTAACCGCCGATTTTCTATATTGGTTAACCGAAACCGAACCGATACCTTTAGTTTTTTAAAAACACTGAATCGACCGATTTGATTAACCAATTTTTTTGTTCAGTTTTGGTCAGTTTTTTTGGTCGATTCGGTTTCAGTTTTTTTGCTCAACCCTAGAAAAACATATTTAAAAAGTTATTGTATATATAATAATATATAATATCGTATATACATGTCATACATACTACATTTATAAAATATTATACCATGTATGTTAAGATACTGCAATATATATATATAATTTCTGAGCCAGGCCGGGTCAGGCAGATTTAAGGTTTGCTTGGCCCAAGCCCAAACCATATCTTGTACGGATTTGATGCGGGTCTGAGTCAGGCTGAGCTTGGTAGAAATATGGCTGCCCAGGCCTGGGAATTTGCGGGCCAGGCGCTGGATCGTAATTCATAAATGATCATCCCTATTGTAAAGATATAGGTTCGTGGGGCTGCTATTAGCTTGTATTTGGTTTGAAAGGAAAGGTAGGGAGTGCTATATAAACCTTGTATACCTTTTCTTTCAAACCAAACATAGCCTTAATTTAATTTCATAATATTTTGTCATTATTAATCTCATCTCCCACTAATGTTTAAAAAATTGAACAGGGTCTTAAAAAATTAGACGGTGTGGTGGATTTGGTGGTTCAAATAGACCAATTAAGAGTAGATTCAAGCCAAATATTTGGCTTTTCAAGATTGGCTCAGCAAAAGAGACATGTTTAAATCTGGCTCAACTCAAAAGCTTGTATGCTTGAGCTTGGCTTGGCTCAAACAAGACAATGAGCTATATAAAAATAAATAAAATTAATTATATATTAAAAATGATATATATATATATATATATATATAATAAAAGCTCGATTAAGCTCGTGGGCCTCACGAGCCAAGTTTCATTTGGTTCAAGCTCAATTCAATTAGCAAATAAATGTAAATATTGGGATCAAACTTGGCTTGAAGCTCAGTTTAAATTGAGATTTTCATAAGCCAATATTGAATAGTCTATGAAAAACTCAGTTCCTATCCACCCCCAATAACGATAGATGAGATCTCCTATAAGCAAAAACTCTTCAAATATGAGCATCTAACATCACATTGAGAACATCTTCTTGTAAATTTAATATACATGTTATGAGATATTGCTGATGTGTAGTTGGATAAGTTTTTGTTTCAAAGAGATTTGGGCTCCAATAAACTATGTATTTCATTTTGTCTTGGGTTCCTAGCGAGGGAGCCCCATGCTTCACTAGAGTAAGAGTAAGGGAATGTAGGTATAGCCAACAGCCTTAATCCCTCAAAAGCATAGAATGGTTGGTAACTTGGTATACATGGTAAAGAGCAACTGACCCAATGTATGTTTTCTAACATTAAATTAGCTTAGTAAAATGGTCAAAACTATCAAATCTAAGCCTAATTAAATTCAAATCAAATCCTATCCATCCTACAAGGTGCCAACTAGTTGGTTGATAAGGTCTCTTGTTGGCTGTAGTGAAGACTTAGGGTCGAATCCTGCCTGCACATGGGTTAGAACAGGAATTGAATTGGATTTAAATGTTGAATATCATTATTAAGTTAAAATATCAAATGGCAACCGGTACTCAAACTTCTACCAAACCTTCATGGAGTTAATTTACTAATAATACATGCACATTAGAATGATCTGTGTAGATAAATATAAATTTAAATGATTAAATATTTTTAATACATATAAGTTCATATCGGATTGGACTGTGATAGAACACTATTGATCCAATTATATATAATTGAACATTATTTGGATCACCTAGACGATATAATTGAACATAATTTGTATCTCCTAGATGGATGAAGACTTGAACTAAAATTCAGACAGACAAATACCATTTGCAACCCCAACAAAACCAAGTTCAATTGCCTGAGTAAACAACGATTTGACAAACATTGGTTATAAATCACCATAAACTTGTTCATGTCTTTTAAAATGATGAGCAGCAATGTTTTCAAGAACCAAACAAGCATTTAACATAAAGCTTATTAACCAACAAATAAACATGAAAGGGAAAGAGTTTGAAGTTAAGATCTAGTTCTATCTATCTCTAATTCACTTAATAAAAATTAAGTAATGTTAAATACAAAATGAAGTAGCTACTAGATCTTCCATATTAGAAATAAATTAAGTCCATTCCCACTCTTCCTACATTACACAATCAGGTCCAATGGATATGTAAAAATAACACACTGATCCAAGGGGCATGTACCCAATGTCTTATTTCTCAAAATTTAGTTTGACTTGATTAAGAGGTCAAGGATGCCAAATTCTGGGATCAATTTTCTAATTCCATAAATTTATTCAAGGGAATGAGAAAGGTAAATAGCATCTCTATTTATCTTCTTACTTGAAAAATTACGAAAAAGATCTTAGCTGCATATTGCACCATTGCTGCTTAAGCACGATGGCTTCTTTCCTGTAGATCTATTGCTCATTGCAAGAACAAATCCAAATGATGTCCGTTATATAAGCTTTTTCTTCCATCTCTTTTACACTAAGTACCCTAAGAAAACCAAAGAATATCTCTACTTCTGTAGGTCGTATCATGTTTTTTCTCCTCTACCAAAAACTACAAATCTTGATAGTGAAACAAATCTGAAGATTAAAAAGGCA